TCACACACACTCACACACACACACATAGACACACACAGAGACACTCACACACATAGACACTCACAGAGACACACACAGACAGACACACACACACAGAGACACTCACACACAGAGACACTCACAGAGACACACAGAGACACTCACACACACAGAGACACACACACAGAGACTCTCACACACAGACACACACACACAGAGACACACAGAGACACACACACAGACACACACAGAGACACTCACACACACTCACACACACACAGAGACACACACAGAGACACTCACACACAGACACAGAGACACACACAGACACACACAGACAGACACACACAGACAGAGACACAGACAATGCCACTCACTTGTCTTCAAGGGTAAGACCTCAACCACGACCCAGGGTGAGGATGATGGTGGTGTTGGTGGTGGTGATGAGACGGTGGATCTGACGCGAAGTTGATAGCGGTCGCCGGGATGCGCCAGCGCTGAGGAGACATCGCACCGTGTCTCTGCGGTGGCAGCGCAGACGGTCCGCCAGCGGGCTCGTCCATAGCTGCACAGAGACACGGGGAGGAGGAGGTGAGGAGTGGGTGTGTGAGTGGGTTGTGGAGTGGGTGAGTTGGTGGCACGCGGGTGAGTGGGTGAATGAGAGAGTGGGTGAGTGAGTGAGTGAGAGAGAGAGTGAGAGAGTGGGTGAGTGAGTGGGTGAGTGAGTGAGTGGGTAAGTGAGCAAGCGGGTGAGTGGGCGCGGAGTGAGTGGTGGTAAGTGGGGGGTGAGTCAGTGGGTGAGTGAGGGTGGGTGGTGTGAGTGAGTGGGCAAGTGAGAGAGTGGGTGAGTGAGTGGGGTGAGTAAGTGGGTGGGTGAGTCAGTGGGTGAGTGAGTGGTGGGTGGGTGAGTGGGTGGGTGAGTGAGTGGTTGAGTGTGTGAGTGGGTGAGTGAGTGGGTGGGTGAGTGGGGGGGTGAGTGGATGGGTGGGTGAGTGGATGGGTGAGTGAGTGGATGGGTGAGTGAGTGGGTGAGTGAGAGAGTGGGTGGGTGAGAGGTTGTTGGGTGAGTGGGTGGGTGGGTGAGTGGATGGGTGAGTGAGTGGATGGGTGAGTGGAGTGGGTGAGTGAGAGAGTGGATGGGTGAGTGAGTGGGTGAGTGAGAGAGTGGGTGGGTGAGTGGGTGGGTGAGTGGGTTGATGAGAGAGTGGGTGGGTGAGAGAGTGGGTGGGTGAGAGAGTGGGTGGGTGAGAGAGTGGGTGGGTGAGTAAGTGGTGGGTGAGTGGGTGGGTGAGTGAGTGGGTGAGTGAGAGAGTGGGTGGGTGAGTAAGTGGGTGGGTGAGTGGGTGGGTGAGTGAGTGGGTGAGTGAGAGAGTGGGTGGGTGAGTAAGTGGGTGGGTGAGTGGTGGGTGAGTGGGTGAGTGAGAGAGTGGTTGAAGCAAGTGGATGGGTGAGTGAGCGAGTGAGTGAGTGATGGGCGAGTAAGTGGGTGAGCGAGTGAGCAAGCTCTCACAGTTTGCTGTCCACCCTGTAGATGCAACGTCCAGGAGCTGTGAGCTGCTGCTGGTGGCGACGTCCACTTGAGCGTCGTGGTCCCAGCGGAGTTGCGTCAGCAGGTCGCGAGACTCCACGCGGACATTCAGAGGGGGAGTCGCAGCTGCGGAGATTGGGCAGTGTGCGCTAACCACTGCACCACCGCTCCCCACACACACACAGTGCGCTAACCACTGCACCACCGCTCCCCACACACACACACAGTGCGCTAACCACTGCACCACCGCTCCCCACCACACACACAGTGCGCTAACCACTGCACCACCGCTCCCCACACACACACAGTGCGCTAACCACTGCACCACCGCTCCCCACACAACACACACAGTGCGCTAACCACTGCACCACCCGTCTCCCCCCACACACACACACAGTGCGCTAACCACCTGCACCACCGTTCTCCCCCCCCACACACACCACAGTGCCGCTAACCACTGCACCACCGCTCCCCACACACACCAGTGCGCTAACCACTGCACCACCGCTCCCCCCCCCCCCCCCCCCCACACAGTGCGCTAACCACTGCACCACCGCTCCCCACACACACACAGTGCGCTAACCACTGCGCCACCGCTCCCCCCCCCCCCCCCCCACACACACACAGTGCGCTAACCACCGCACCACCACTCCCCACACACACCAGTGCGCTAACCACTGCACCACCGCTCCCCACACACACAGTGCGCTAACCACTTCACCACCGCTCCCCACACACACACACACAGTGCGCTAACCACTGCACCACCGCTCCCCACACACCACAGTGCGCTAACCACTGCACCACCGCTCCCCCCCCCCCCCCCACACATGCGCTAACCACTGCACCACCGCTCCCCACACACACACAGTGCGCTAACCACTGCACCACCGCTCCCCACACACACACAGTGCGCTAACCACTTCACCACCGCTCCCCACACACACACACACAGTGCGCTAACCACTGCACCACCGCTCCCACACCACACAGTGCGCTAACCACTTCACCACCGCTCCCCACGTCCACCACACCCTGGTACCCGATGTATCAACCACCTCTGGCTGTGCTCACCGTGTGTGCACGTGACGAGGTGGAGGACGGAGAGGAAGAGTAGGCCAAGTCTCGAGAAGAGTTCTCGCACCGCCATGACACCCACCTGGGACCCACGTGTTTCCGTTTCTCAAGTCACGTGGTGCAGAGAAATTCGATTCCCGGTTCAATTATCTCCATTTGCGTCGATTCTTAATGGGATAACATTAGGAATCGATTCTTGTAGTGAATTTATAGAGTCGATTTCCGTTGAGATAACATGGGAATAGACTATCGTGGTGTGTGTTCATGTGTGTGTGTCTAAAGTCGATGTCTGCGTGTGTGTACTTGTGTGTAAGTCGATGTCTGTGTGTACTTGTGTGTGTGTGTTCATGTGTGTGTATCTAAAGTCGATGTCTGTGTGTACTTGTGTGTGTGTGAGTCCATGTGTGTATCTAAAGTCGATGTCTGTGTGTGTAAGTTTGTATGTGTGTGTAAGTCGATGTCTGTGTGTACTTGTGTGTGTGAGAGTCCATGTGTGTGTATCTAAAGTCGATGTCTGTGTGTACGTGTGTGTGTGTGTAAGTCCATGTGTGTGTATCTAAGTCGATGTCTGTGTGTGTAGTTTGTATGTGTGTGTACGATGTCTGTGTGTACTTGTGTGTGAGTCCATGTGTGTGTATCCAAAGCCGATGTCTGTGTGTGTGTACTTGTGTGTGTGTGAGTCCATGTGTGTGTATCTCAGTTGATGTCTGTGTGTGTGAGTCCATATGTGTGTGTGTAAGTCTGTGTGTCTACGTGCAAGTGTGTGCATAAGTCGATGTGTGTGAGTCGATGTGTCTGTAAGTCCATGTGTGTTTGAGTCGATGTGTCTGTGTGAGTCGCTATGTGTGTAAGTCGATGTGTGTATGTGTACGTTGATGTGTGTAAGTCCATGCGTGTGTGTGAGTCGCTGTGTGTGTGAGTCGCTGTGTGTGAGTCTATGTGTCAGTCGATGTGTGTGTCTATGTGTCAGTCGATGTGGTGTGTAAGTCCATGTGTGTGTGTAAGTCGATGCGTGTGTGTGTAAGTCGATGTGTGTGTAAGTCGATATGTGTGAGTCAATGTGTGTGTTTGAGTCCATACATATGTGTGTGTAAGTCGATGTGTTTGTGTGTGTGGGTCGATGTCTGTGTGTGTAAGTCCATGTCTGTGTGTGTCTTTTTCGCCCGGGCAATGCCGGGTACCTCCCGCTGGTACCTAATAAATTCAACTTGAGTGCAGAAGGAGTTTGCGACGTGCGGTGCGAGTGTGTGAGGATGGGTGGGCATCCTCTACATGTGGGTGGTGAACTACTTTTGCACCATTCGCAGCCAATCCTAATCAGAGTAGTGTATAGTGTAGTGTATAGTGTAGTGTATAGTAGTGTATAGTGTAGTGTATAGTGTAGTGTATATGTGTGTATAGTAGTTATAGTGTAGTGTATAGTGTAGTGTATAGTGTAGTGTATAGTAGTGTATAATGTAGTGTATAGTGTAGTGTATAGTGTAGTATATAGTGTGCGCATAGTATGTATAGTAGTGTATAGTGTAGTGTATAGTGTAGTGTATGTAGTGTATAGTGTAGTGTATAGTGTAGTGTATAGTGTAGTGTATAGTGTAGTGTATAGTAGTGTATAGTGTAGTGTATAGTGTAGTGTATAGTGTAGTGTGTAGTGTATAGTGTAGTGTATAGTGTAGTAGTGTATAGTAGTATGTATAGTGTAGTGTATAGTAGTAGTGTATAGTAGTGTATAGTAGTGTATAGTGTAGTGTATAGTGTAGTGTATAGTGTAGTGTATAGTGTAGTGTATAGTGTATAGTGTAGTAGTGTATAGTGTAGTGTAGTGTAGTGTATATGTAGTGTATAGTGTAGTGTATAGTGTAGTGTATAGTGTATAGTGTAGTTGTATGTGTATAGTAGTGTATAGTGTAGTGTATAGTAGTGTATAGTGTAGTAGTGTAGTGTATAGTGTAGTGTATAAGTGTAGTGTATAGTAGTGTATAAGTGTAGTGTATAGTAGTGTATAGTGTAGTGTATAGTGTAGTGTATAGTGTAGTGTATAAGTGTAGTGTATAGTAGTGTATAGTGTAGTGTATAGTGTAGTGTATAGTGTAGTGTATAGTAGTGTATAAGTAGTGTATAGTAGTGTATAGTGTAGTGTTAGTGTAGTGTATAAGTGTAGTGTATAGTAGTGTATAGTGTAGTGTATAGTAGTGTATAAGTGTAGTGTATAGTAGTGTATAGTGTAGTGTATAGTAGTGTATAAGTGTAGTGTATAGTAGTGTATAGTGTAGTGTATAGTAGTGTATAGTGTAGTGTATAGTGTAGTGTATAAGTGTAGCGCATCGTGCCCTATGTATTTGTTTAACTTCTTTCTCACCACATGTAGCTAGAACTGATCCTCGTAGTAGTGTATCGTGGTGTATAGTGGAAGACAGTG